CTGGAATTGGGTATGTCTAGTTTAATGAAGAGAAGGACAAGGGGGGACATGATAGCAGTGTTCCAGTATCTCAGGGGCTGCCACAAAGAAGAGGGAGTCAAGCTATTCTCCAAGGCGCCTGAAGGCAGGACAAGAAGCAACGGATGAAAACTGATCAAGGAGAGAAGCAACCTAGAACTAAGGAGAAACTTCCTGACAGTTAGAACAATTAATCAGTGGAACAACCTGCCTCCAGAAGCGGTGAATGCTCCAACACTGGAGGTTTTTAAGAAGAGACTGGACAGCCATTTGTCTAAAATGGTGTAGGGTTCCTGCCTGAGCAGGGGGTTGGACTTGATGACCTCCAAGGTCCCTTCCAACTTTATTATTATTATTATTATTATTATTATTATTATTATTATTATTATTATTATTATTATTATTATTATTATTATTATTAAGCTAAGGGAGTAACTTTGAGCCAGCTATTATCTCATTCATCCTGATATATTTCATAGTTATGCTACTGTTGGGGGAAATTGATGGACAGAGTGCTACATATGCGATCTTGAGCTCTTGGAAAAAGGATAGGAGTATCCAAATTATCCGTCCGTCCGTCCGTCCGTCCGTCCGTCCGTCCGTCCGTCCGTCTATCTATCTATCTATCTATCTATCTATCTATCTATCTATCTATCTATCTATCTATCTATCTATCTCTGCTTATCTGATGAGGAGGTGTTTTGATCTTTTTGTTACCTTTTTATCTTTTTTATCTCTCTTGAATGGTGTGTAGATGTTGTTTATCACTATGTGCCTGTTGATGGCTCATTTGTTTGAGTGCCAGGTTCCAGGAATTCTATGATGTTTTTGGACTTGGCTTGGTCTGGGATGCTCAGTTTCCTAGCTGAAATTATGGTTAAGTCTATCTATGTATTGTGAAATTAAAAAGTTTCGTCTAGAATTTTTACTGCCAGTTAGTACCAGTTGGTGTTCGTGTATAGCGCTCCATATGTCACGCTGGCCACGTGACCAGAGAAATGTTTTTGGACAGCTCTGGTTCAATGGCCTTGAAACTGAGATGAGCGCCAGCCCCTGTAGTTGGCAACGACTAAAGGAATAAAATCTGCAGGGACTCCTTTATTTATTTATTTTTTTAAGAGCGCAAATGCTTATCTCGGTTTTGGTGCTGGAACTCTTGAATTGAAGCAGAATTTCAATGAATTTGAAATGTTTGAATGGGTCGTTCTCATATTTATTCTACCTGCTTTAATCCATTAAATGTTTTAGGAACAGATTTTTTTTCACATTCCTGGGGTTTATTAGATTGCTTGGTACAGCAATTTTAAGAACTGTGAAGGGTAACTCATCCTGTTTTTAATCAGTAGAACTCAAAAACAGATAAATTGACATAGTCCTTGCTAAATTGAAATTTTACACATGAAACTCTGACTTTGTTATTATTGACAGGAGAGAATATTAAAATAAATACACATTCTAATCTAACAAGCATTCATGTAGATGCAGTATTCTTGCTCTGCAAATAAGGGAAGGGCTCACATACAGGTCGTCCTCGACTTTCAACAGTTCATTTAGTGACTGTTCAAAATTATAATAGCACTGAAAAAAGTGACTTATGACTGTTTTTCACACTTACGGCCATTGCAGCATCCCCCAAAAGTTGGATGCTTGGCAACTGATTCATATTTATGACAGTTGCAGTGTCCCAGAATTATGTGATCTCCTTTTGTAACCTCCTTACAAGTAAGGTCAGTGAGGAAGCCAGATTAATTTAACAACCGTGGACTAGCTTAACAACTGCAGTGATTCACTTAACAGCCGTGGCAAGAAAGGTCATAAAATGGGGCAAAACTCACTTAACAAATATATCGCTTAACAATGGACACAATCGTGGTCATAAGTCAAGGACTATCTATATTACAATGTATTTATAGGGCAATGGTGGCTAACCTATGGCACGCGTGCCAGAAGCGGCACTCAGAGCCCTCTCTGTGGGCACGTGCGCCATGCCCCGGAGATGGCAACCGTCCTCTTCAACCAGCTGCCCGCTAACTCCCAGAGGTCCCACGTGGCTGGATGCATCCCAGCATCCATGTGCTCGCTGGCCTCTGTGTGCAGGGGCTGATGGTGTCAGGCAGCTGCCGCCCTGGCCCCTGCCTCGCCTTGCCCTGCGACAATGGCACCCCTGCCCTGCCTTGCCTCACCTTGCCTCACCCCACAGGACGAGCCTCCTGCCCACCACCCCACCTGCCAGAAACCTCCTGGATCTCCCCCAACCCTGCCCGGCCCCCACAGGTGTCCCTCCCCAGGAGCAACATTGAGCTGGCCACGCCCACCCTGGCCACGCTCACCCATCTGCCATGACCACCGTAGCCACACCCAGTGAGCCACGCCTACCCGGCACTCGGCGATACATAAGTGGGATTTGGGTTGCAGTTTGGGCACTTGGTCTCTAAAAGGTTCGCCATCACTGTTATAGAGGCTTGTATTTTTCATGTACTCCGGAAACCTAACCTCTCCTCCAGATTACTCTCATTCAGTTTTGTTTATGCTATTCCATGAAACTCTAGGCCATGTTTTGATGAACCAAGATTTGCTGAAAGAACCGTATTGTTTGGTCCTTGCAAGCCCAGCCGTAAACCAAGATTTACAAATTGCAGTAACTGGGTTCTAACCATTGATGGAGCCAAACAGTGTGGCCCAACATCATGAGTAGGGCCTACCAGTGAAGATGTAGTATAGAGGAAACCAGCCCTTCAGAAGTTGTCATAATCTCTGATATCTCCATCTACTGATTGTTGCTAATGGAAGATAATGGGAGCTGGGATCCCACACCATCTGGAATGTCAGATTTGCTCAGTGTAAAAGAGTTTAGAGGCGGCTATGGGAATAGGGAAAGAATTTAATGAGTCACTTATGGAGGAATTTCAGAAAAGGTTACCAGAAATTCAAAATAATGTCATTTTAATTTTGTTTAGTATAAGATGGGACACAGAGGAACTTGCACAGGCTTTGGAGAATCTGCTATTCTATTTAATCACAATAAAAAAAATAATCTTGGGATCCCCACCTTTTGATCTAGCCCAGTGGTTCTCAACCTTTTTAATGCCGCGACCCCAACCGGTCGTAAGTCGAGGACTAAACCGGTCATAAGTCGAGGACTAAACCGGTCATAAGTCGAGGACTACCCAACCAGTCGTAAGTCAAGGACTTTCCCTGCCCGGGAGCGCCGCGCATGTGTGGTTCCGCCCCCTGCGCCGGCTGAGGCGTAGCTGGCAAGCGGCAGAGACGGAGCAGGCCGACCACCAGCTGGCCCAGCTCAAGGGAGGTAAGGCACCCGCCGGAAAAGGGGGAAAAAAATGGTGGACAGCCTTGCTTGGCGACCCCCGTGAAATGGTCGATCGACCCCAAATGGGGTCGTGACCCATAGGTTGAGAACCGCTGATCTAGCCGACTCTGAAGGGTGGATTCTCAACTGGGAAAAGAAAGATGAATTGAGACAGAATGAGAAGGGTGGAAGGGAGTAGTGTAAAGAAAGACAGGAAAGGGAGGAGGAAACACAGACAGGTAAGAGACAGACAAGCCAAAGAGAATTAAGGGGAAAGGAATCTTGTGGAAGGAACATTTTTTTTCCTTCCACCTCTCTACTTTATGAGAGGGTAATAATCTCCCAAGGATTCTAAGCAAAGATCTTTCCCAGCCTTTTTGGAGGGAAGAAGCTGAACTTATATCCTTTTCCATGTATTTATGACTTCCAACATCAATTTGCTCTAGTGCAAAGGTAGGCCACCTTGGCTCTTTTATGACTTGTGGACTTCAACTCCCAGAATTCCCGAGCCAGCCATGCTGAGGGGACAGGGAGAAGTTGCCATGCTGAGCCATGCTGGCTCAGGAATTCTGGGAGTTGAAGTCCACGAGTCATAAAAGAGCCAAGGTTGCCTATCCCTGGTCTAGTGGTTAAGACACCAGTCCAGAAGGCAGAAGACAGTGAGTTCTAATCCAGGGGTCCCCAAGCCCCAGACTGTGACACAGTATTGGATTGAGGCCTGTTGGGAACTGGGCTGCGCAATGGAGGATGAGGGATGAGTGCGTGAAACCCCATTTGCACAAGCTGTGGGCACACATGCCCACCGCTTGCATTGAACCTCTCCCCACCCTCCCATTGCCAGTGACACCAGGAGCAGTGGTCCACACAGCCAGAAAGATTGGGACCGCTGTTCTAGTCCTACTTTGTGCATGGGTGCCTTTGGGCCAATCATCAGGAGACTGTAAAGTCTAGTCCCACTTTAAGCATGAAAGCCAGCTGGGTGACTTTGGACCAATCCCTCACTCTCAGCCCAATCCACCTCACAGGGTTGTTGTCAGGAAAAAAGGAGAAGGAAAGAGTACTGTTAGGTACATTTACTGCCTTATTTATCAGAATAATAAAGGTGAAATAAAAATAATGGTCATTCTATCCCTCATTCATGCACATAACAGTTATTCTTGTCTAGGAAATGTGAGAAAGATAGCTGCAAACCTGCCAGTGTATAAAGAAAGATGGTATCACTGATCTATGGTTTAGAGCAGGGGTAGGCCACCTTGGCTCTTTTATGACTCATGGACTTCAACTCCCAGAATTCCTGAACCAGCCATGCTGAGGGGACAGGGAGAAGTTTCCATGCTGGCTCAGGAATTCTGAGAGTTGAAGTCCACAAGTCATAAAAGAGCCAAAGTGGCCTACCCCTGGTTAGAGTCATCTTTTCCTGGATTACCTCACCAGGCCCAGTGAAAATGAGCAAGGTTTCTTTGCTGGGGCTCAGATAATTGGCTAGAGTTGTATTACAGCAATGCAAAGAGAAAGTCGTTAAATCAGAGGTTAATTTTTGGGGCTGGTCTTTAACCTGCCAAACACAGCAATCGCTTCCTTTCAAAGGTTGCGATTCCCTGGCTACACAGCCCTATCCAAGCTGTCTTTGGGCTGCTGAATTCTTCCAGCCAAGAGAAAAGTGGGTCATCCTTACTTTCTGGGAGGCAATCTTCAGGTTCCAGCAGTTCTTCTGCCAGTTCGGGCATCTGTTCCAGAAGCTCTGACGGAATTGCCAGATCCACCGTGCTTCCTTCTGACAGGCTGATTTCATCAAATTTCTAAGGAAGAAAGAAGAGCAGAGATTTCATCACCCAGGCTTATGGAAGTGGCTGTGATCCAGTCACCTCTGAGAAGGATAAAAACATAGAACATAGAGGTTGGAGGTTTTTCTATTTCAATCCATGTTCGAAGGAGAATAACTCATACCATTTCAAACAAACAGCTGTCCGGTCTCTTTCTGAAAGTGATGGAGCACCCGTCTGAAGCCAAGCTGTTCCACTGGTTGATTGGAAAGAAATTCACACGGCTGTTATGTAAGAAAAGGTGGCGCATGCAAACACATCAGCAAAAAGCAAAATTACAGAGAAAAGCAACTTTATAGAAGAATTTTAAAACTACAGGGCTCAACTGTACCCGGCATGTTATTTAACAATCACCAGAAGTCGCTGGGAAAGTTCATTGGTCAGTTAGACCTATGAGGTGTCTTCCTGGTGAAGAGAAGATGGCCGTGTGTTGCTAAAGTTATTTCACAGTACATGTACATTCATTGTTATTTTATTATTTTATTTGTATCCTGCCTTTATTATTTTTTCAAATAACTCAAGGCAGTGAATATATGCAAGACACCTTCCTATTTTCCTCATAACAACAGTTTTGTAAAGTGGGTTGGGATGAGAAAGAGTGACTGGCCCAAAGTCACCCAGCTGGCATTCACGCCTAAGGCAGACTAGAACTCACCATCTCCCGGTGATTGGTCCAAAATCAACTACCTGGCTTTCCTCCCTAAGGTGGGGCTTTTTCCTCTGTTTCCTGCTTCTAACCTGGTGCTTTAAACACTAGGCCAGTGGTTTAATTAGATATGCCACTATTCCAATGAAATTTAATCACCCTTTCATGTAAAATTGCTACCTATATAACTGGCACTGAGGCGGTAGAACATCCTGCTATTAAAACTAACTTTTGAAACCACGCCATGGTTTTGAAAAGACAAAACACATCAGCGGAGTTCACAAAATAACTAGGCTAAAGTAGAATTGGATGGCTGTGATTTAGCAAGTTGCAGGAAACCAGACTTTGCCTTAATATGCTTTGTAAATCAGATTGTCACATTATGTCATAATAATGTAACTGATACGTCTGGGCTCAGAGTGCTATGTGAACACAGCGATTGTTTTCTTATGCAGGTTTAGGTTTCCGTGTGTTGTCCCCAGGATTGTCAAAAAATTGAGACAGAGTTGTAACTGCGTGATTGAACCTCAACCTTTTTTGGGTGCACTGTGACACAAATAAAAAGGGACAGGGCTTCAATCATGGTTGCAACCCTTGTTTTGACCGTTTTGATATCCTCCATTCTCAGATATTACTGGTTGTGCCTATTGCTTCATTTTTCTACTTCGGTTGCAACAAATAGTAGTATATACGATTAACTTGGAATAAACCCACTGAAAGCAACTTTAATTAAATTCTGAATATAAGGTTACACAGTTAAGAATTTCATGTGATGAGTTCAGGAATGTGATATTTGGGGGGGAAATGATTACAGGTAGTCCTTGACTTACGACCACAATTGAACCCAAAATTTCCGTTGCTAAGCAACGCATTTGTTAAGTAAGTTCTGCTCTATTTTACGACCCTGCTGAAGTTAAGTTAGTAATATAGTGGTTAAATGAATCTGGCTTCTCCACTGCTATTCAGAAGGTTGCAAAAGGTGGTCACATGATCCTAGGAGAGTGCAACCGTCATAAATATATGCCAGTTCCAAGTGTCTGAATTTTGATCACATGACCATGGGATGCTACAACAATCGTTGAGTGTGAAAAATGGTCATAAGTCACTATTTTCAGTGCCATTGTAACTTTGAATGATCACTAAATAAATGGCTGTAAATCGAGGACTACCAGTATTTAGCTCCATGTGCTGATGCAAATATCTAGGAGTTGCTGGTAGTTTTATAGTCTCCTAACCCTCTCAAAGAGCAAATTCCTGCATCAATAAACTTTTACTTTCAGAAAAGGAGTTTGGAAGTAATTTCTTAAAGCATCAGGATCTCTGATCCTCAAAGCAGGTACCTATGTGGGACAAAGAACAAAACTCAAAGGTCCCCAATGTCTCCAGCGATTCCTGGCATTGATTCTGAAAAAAGTAGAAAGCAGAGATCCCAAACAGAAAGAAGGAACAGATTGAATTAAATCAGGCAAACAAAGAATAAACAGAGTCTGCAGCAAGAATTATTAGGCAGCGACAAAAGGAAAGATTATAATATTTGTGGAGCTCAGCAGCACAACCACAGGGGGGATAAATGAGAAACTCAAACAAAGAAACACAATTAAAAACAATGCACAGAGGAGAGCTCTTTCAAAGTATAAGAATGTGTCCGCGGCTGGCTGAGGCGGTGGGGCAGAGGAGATGCAACATTTTTGGGGATCAACTGAAAGCTGTGCCATCCTCATCATAACTTAAAAATTAAGGAGGACAGCAGCCATTCAAATCTGTAGAATTTTTTATTATTGCTTTTGTTTTATTTATCTATATTCCGCCTTTTAGAGGATGCGCGATGGCTCATCAGTTAAAGAGGCTGAGCTTGTCGGGTGGAAAGCTGACAACCCAGGTTCAAGATGGGACGAGCTCTTGCCTTGCCTCAGCTCCTGCCCATTTAGCAATTGGAAAGCATGCAAATGCAAGCAGATAAATAGGCACCACTTTGGTGTGAAGGCAACAGCATTCCAGGGGCCTCGACAAGCAGTCATGCTGGACACATGACCAGGGAAGCATCTTTGGATAATGCCGACTCCCTCCGGTAGGAATGGAGATAAGCACCGCCCCATGACTGATCAGGAGAAAACTTTTCCTGTAACTTTTTTTTAATCCTACTTTCATTTTTAAAAACAACAATGGCAGACATATACTATACTTCCTACTCCTCCTATTTTCCTCACAACAACCCTGTGAGGTGAGTTGGGCTGAGAGAAAGTGACTAGCACAATGTCCCTCAGCTGGCTTTCCTGCCTAAGGCAGGACTAGAATTCACAATCTCCTGATGACTGGCCCAAAGTTACCTAGTTGACTTTCAGGCCTAAGGCAGGACTAGAATTCACGTCTCCTGTTGATTGGCCCAAAGTCATCCAGCCAGCTTTCATGCCTATAGCAGGACTAGAACTCACAGTCTTCTGGTTTCCAGCATGGTTTGTCTCAACCACGAGATCTAACTGTTCCCCTTAAAAAAAAAAATGATGGCCCAAACACACAAAAACGAATCCCTGGTCCTTTTATTGGGCTGGAGCAGGGGTAGGCCGCCTTGGCTCTTTTGTGACTCGTGGACTTCAACTCCCAGAATTCCTGAGCCAGCCATGCTGAGGGGAAAGGGAGAGTTTCCAAGCAGAGCCATGCTGGCTCAGGAATTCTGGGAGTTGAAGTCCACGAGTCATAAAAGAGCCAAGGTGGCCTACCCCTGGTCTAGCAGGCTCACCGCTTAGAACAGGAGGACTTAGGTCAGGGGTAGGCAACCTTGGCTCTTTTATGACTCATGGACTTCAACTCCCAGAATTCCTGAGCCAGCCATGCTGAGGGGAAAGGGCGAGGTTTCCAAGCTGAGCCATGCTGGCTCAGGAATTCTGGGAGTTGAAGTCCACGAGTCATAAAAGAGCCAAAGGTTGCCTACCCCTGCCGCTGGAGGGAGAGAGGTTAAAAGGAAATATCTACGTAACATTTGATCAGTAGCCTAAGAAAAAGCAAACCTGGTTCTAGATTTTGCTGTGCTTGGCTAATAAGTGCTTGGCTAATGGATAACTAATGGCGAAAGCACTCAAGGCATTTTTTTTTCCAAAGGGGAAGATGGCTTTAAAATGACTCCACTCCTTTGATCACCAGTTTTTCACAAACGGCTCTCTCACCCATCATTTCTTTAATATACCAGAATTGTCACATTTCTGACTCAACATGCAAAAATTCCAGACTCCTTGCAAAAAAAAAAATCTGGCTTTTGTTTGAAATGAGTAAGTAGAGCACACAAAGCCAGACAGGAATTAGCAAATAAGATAAGCAATACAAGGGGTCCTAGACTTATAACTATTTGCTTAGTGACTGTTCAAAGTTACTATGGCACCGAAAGAAGTGATTTGACCATTTTTTTATACTTGCAACTGCTGCACCATCTCTGTAGTCATGTGACCTAAATTAAGTTGTTTGGCAACTGGCATGTATTTATGACTGTTGCACTGTTATGTGATCACCCAGCCAGCTTCCGAAAATCAGAGTCAATGCAGGAGGCCAGATTCGCTTAATGGCCATTTAATGGCCATTTAATAACTGCAGTGATTTGCTTAACAACGGTGGCAAAAAGGTTGTAAAATGAGGTCAACTCATTTAACACTGTCTGGATTAGCAATGGAAATTTTGGACTCAAATATTCTCACAAGTGAAGGGCTATCTGTAATGGACTTTGAAGTGGTATACTTTTTTCTTGCCCAGAATTATTATTTTTTTGTGTGTGGGTATTCAAAATTTCAGGAGTAAGAAATTTGACTGGAATCTAACAATACAGGTAATCCTTGACTTATGACCAGAACTGAACACCAAGTTTATGTTGCTAAATGAGACATTTGTTAAGTGAACTTTTTGTCCCATCTTACAACCTTTCTTGCCACAGCTGTTAATCACCACAGTTGTTAAGTTAGTAATACAGTTGTTAAGCGAATCTGGCTTTCTCATTGACTTTGCTTGTCAGAAGGTTGTAAAAAGTGACCACATGATCCTAAGACACTGCAATTGTCATACAGTATATAAGAGTCAGTTGCCGTGAATTTTTATCATGTGCTACAACGGTTGTAAGTGTGAAAAATGGTAATAAGTCATTTTTTAGTGCCACTTTGAATGGTCACTTAATGAACTGTTGTATTGTAAGTCGAGGATTACCTATAATATTATTTTATTTTATGTTTGTCAGTTATCTATTTACCAGCAACCAGCTGCTGCTTTTTCTACTGGTGACAGAACAGAACAGAATAATAGAGGTGGAAGGGACCTTGGAGGTCTTCTAGTCCAACCCCCTGCTTAAGCAGGA